TTATTGAAAATTCTTAAATTGTTTACTCTCTTCTTCTCTGAATCCTCAGTGTTTTGAATCATGAAAATAGATACATTGAGATAGTGCTCATGCCATCTATGCATTCCTGGTTAGAGCAAAATATATGAGCTATATGCATTAATTGTTAAAATGCAATCTTTTGCTTACATTCTCTAAATCAGAAATCCTATTTCAGATGAAAAACTGTAAACTCCTTTCCTAAAAAAATATGGTTTATACTGGAAGTTCTATTATTTACATATGAAATTTCTCTCAACTTTTCAAGAGCGGTGAAAACAGATTTTGTATGTTTAAAGGTAACATCCTATACTTGGATCATGTAGAATATTTTTTGCACTATAGTATTTAGCTTTTAAGCTTTTTTTAAAAAGAATTCCACAGAAATAGAAGATTAAAAAATTACATGAAATACAGGAAAACAGTTTGAAAAAGTGTATGTCAGTCTGTGTGTATGTGTGTACATATGTGTATGTGAAAACTTCTTGTGACATTCCTAGCAGAGCATCTCATTTGGCAAGTGGACTTAACCTATKTCAGGGACCTCTTCCAGTCAAAAGGGACAACTGTTTCAAGTTCTTTTTATATTTCTCTTGGCATTAAATATCAGCTGCTGCCCTTAAGTGTTGTAGATCCTGAGATTTTCCCCGGGCCCTGTATGTAGAAGAGAGATAAGAAATGCTTTCCTTAGTAAAAATAAATATTACTTTAACTTAGAAATACCCTAAATAATTGAAAAACAAAACAAAATAAATAATCATAACCATGTTATACTGCCAGACCTGAATGAGAACTTGAAAGCAAAGCTGAGAATAATTTCTGCTCTTGGATTAAAGGCATAGCAACCGGTTTATCTTCTACTTACATTTAGATCAAAATATAGTTATCATTAGGTTTTCCATCTTCAGTTAGTATAAATAAAAGCTTTTTTTTCCTCTTCTGTATTTTGAATATCTGTTTTTCTTTGTATTTATTCTTTAGAGAACAGGCCTAAGACTATTCATAAAAACTCACTTGTATATTCCAGCATGTGTAGGTGCTTTTTTCAACTTTTCCTAAAGATAAAAATTATTTCTTTTCTAATCTCCATGATACCAAAAAGATTTTACTTAACCTCTCAACACTTAAAGTTCATTTTTGATTACTTGATTTGACTAACTTTTTTTTAAGATTCTTTCATTCAAAGTGATATAGCTGTGCTTTTAATATAGCTTTTGCACTTTTAAAGAATAAACAAAGCTGACTGACTTTCAGGCCCCTGCCTTCAGCATGTTCCTGGATACATTTGTGAAGGCTCTCATTCTGTTTCACCAGACATTTTCTGTTGTGAATAGTAGGCTCATCCTTCAGGGTATCTACAAAGATTTATTCTTACTGTGGATATTTTTTGTTGCTTATTTCCTGCTGGAAGCCTAAAACAAAAGCAACATGTGAACCTCCCATTTTGTGGTCTGGCTGAACTCTTGGATTAAAAGGGCAAGTACTGTGTAGAAGTATCATACTCTGGACAGTTGTTTATCAGGATGTGGCAAAGTTCACCTGGAAAATAATTAGCTTTTTGGATCTCCCCTACTAGAGATTAAAAGCATTCCAAGTCCTTTAAATTTAAACTATTAATGTTCGCATTTTGGATTAGAGAATCCTAATTGCTATTTCTAGCATAAATTCTTACAGGTTTTGCATATAAAGAGCACAGAAATAATAATAGTTACAGTTATAATAATAATAAATACTTTATACAGTGACTGCTTTCTGGGTTGCTGGTCAGTTTCAAGTTGAATTGAAAATCTGGGAAAGGTCTGGTGTGAAAAAAATTGACACCTTTCATCGATGCAGTAATGTTCAAGGTATGCCAGATTTTGAGTTTTAACGGAATGTGATGAATGGTTGTCTTGGCCTGGATACAGAGGAAAGCTAACCAAATGCTTTAGATTCATAGCTGAAATACTTTAGAACAAACACAGGTGATAGAAGAAAGGAAGCAATTTGTCTTGTGATAGGCATGACTCTACATATTGAGGAGAAATAAAAACTGTCTGGATTTATCCCAACTTTTAAGGAAATCTGTGACTCTTAAGGTACCTGTTGCTTATGACATAGGTGGCTAAGTTTTAGTTATCTCTTCATCTGCACAGCTAATTATATGCTAGCAGTCTCTTTGCAATCCACAGCACTATAACTAAAAGACACCAGAAAGAGGTAAAATAAGGTTATATTAAAATTAATGAAGTTCAACTTTTACTTTTTTTTTTAAATGCCCATTCTCATTCACATACTTGTTTTAGACTGGATAAGTGACAGAACAGTTAAACCAATTTCTGAGCTAAGTTAAGCTATGTGGATGGGTATACCCTTTTTGAAGTCTTACTTATTCATGTACTGTTCCATGCCTCTGTAGTAATGAAATCTCATCTAGGCTAGGACAGAAACTTTCAAGACTTGAGAGGGAGTTTTTGATTGGTTTTTTCAGCTTGGACAGTGAGGACATTGCTCATTGCACGTGGAACATGTACAGTCTGTTGGAGAAATTCTGGGCACTCTTTTATAGCCTACATTTCTCAGGGTATTGTTTCCTGCTCTGTCTTTTATGCTCAAGCCACTAGGATATTATGTAAGTCTATGGTAATTATACTTGACTGCTGTTTATCTCCTAGAGTGTTCAGTGGTTCTGTGAGAATTCATTTTACCTTGTCTTGTTTGTAGTTTACAAAAATAGTTTTAAGGTCTTATTGTAGTAAAACTTGGGGATAACCTAAGGTTATATTACAACTAGTTTGAGTTACACCTTAAGGAGAGAAATCTCTTTCAGTCTTTGATGTATCTCAAGTTGATTATTTATTAAAATGGGTACTGTAAAGAGCTGAGAACTTCTCTGAAATACACTTAGTGCAGGGACAGAGAATTCACACTGTTCAGGAACAGAAACTTCCAGAAACTAATCTGAACAAAGTTTTTCCTCTGACCTTCAGCTTTCCGAGTTGGCATTTGCATTGCAGTCATTCAAAGGTGTATGTTCCCTGTTGATTCTGTGTTTGATTGTTTGAGCCATTTGAATTTCAATAATTATTGATTTCTGCACATAATGCTTTGAGTGATTTTTTTGTCACACATGACAGGTTATTACAGAACTAGTTTGTTGATTAGACATGTCCCAGCTCTTTAGGATAGGAAGAGCTACGCAGCCAATTCCAGCATAGTGCAGGTTGGTGTAATGCTCTGTTGCAATGTGTCACAGCAAGGGAGCCTCACTCACATTCACCAAAGGAAGTTTATGACTTCAGGCAGGGCAAGTCACTGCAGTGTTTTTGTTTCAAGGCTTGCTTGTTCATTGCAATACTGGGGAGCTGAGCATTATGTCTCCTTATGGTTGTTGGAAGAAGCATGGGCTATTGTGAAAACCTGTCCCCATATGTGCACCTGGTGAATAATAGAAAAAGCTTCTCTCAAAAATCGTGAGGAAAAAACTAATACCCAATAGTAATTCTACTCCTTCAGCAGTTCTCCCTGATATTATTGGCCAGTTAGCCAACTTTTGACTCAACTTCTACTATAAAAATAAAATGCTGCAATGGGCCTTGAGATGAAGTGGAATGTGAGGATTAATTAGATGGATGCTATTTTGTTTGAATGCAAATCAAGTCTCCACCAGAATCTCTCATTTGCCAATTACTGTAGCACTAAAAATGCCTGTTAAATGTTGTGTCTCCTTTTCTTAAGGTTGATCTGCAGTTGCAAGAAGTAGCTTTGAAAATGAGACAGCTTTAAAGAGAGAAACCTGAATAGTGATCACATTTCTCTGACTGAATTTAATTCTTACTGTGGCTCTACTTTGTGCCATTCGGTGAGCGTGCGCGTTCAAAAATGTTTCACTTTGAGTAGCAAAAAGGTATTTATTAACAGAGCAGTAGGAAAGAGCATTCTTCCAAGTAACTGCACTGCTCCTACCACCAAGTGCTCCCAGGTGCTCTTACTAGAAGACCTGCAGGGTCTTATTTTGCCACCTTAATCCTGTTTAATTGTATGATTCTATTTCCTGTGTGTTCTTACAACTGCGTAGCAGCACAGACTCTGATTCATTCATTGTGGTGTAGAGATACTAAACGGTCAAGTTTGTTTGTGAGAAAATAATGAAGGAAAATATAATCCTAACATCTAAATATTAATTGCATCCAGAGAGGAAATTTCATGACACTAAGTGAGAAATTGCTGAAACCTATCAAACTGCTGATGCAACTTTTTGACTTGTATTATATGGTATAACTTCTAAAACTAAATTTGAATGTCTTTATTTTTCAAATATTCCAAAATTACCATTAAGAACTGCCATAATGCTTATTTTCAAAACAAAAAGATAAATTATGGCTATTCATAAAGCATATAAGTGAATGAAAGCTGGGATAGATAGACATATAATACAGAACACACCTATACGTGTGTCTACGTATACGTATAAACTAGGGATAACTTTTACAGAAGTGGGATTTTTTTCTGCCTGGAAATTTAGTTATAGAAGAGTCTATAGGTTTCAGTCACTCATCTGAGTAACTAGGTTGTCAGCTCTGTAGCAGGAGGTAGCTGCAATCTGATCTTTCACACATTTGAGGATCCTGGACATGTTTATCTATATAGGTCAGCTTTATGCTGAACATCTGATGTGCATGTGTGGAAAACATGGCAGGATCGGAATGAATTTTATGTAGTGTACATGTGCAGATCCGAGTGCACAATCTTTAGTCGGTAAAGCAAATATTCCCGGATCAGCGTACAAACAATCCTAGCAGTACCACACAAAGAGGGCATCAGACCCAGAATGAGCATCCAACTCATTGCACATGGAACGTGTACAGCCTGTTTGAGAAATGCTGGGCATTGTTCTCTAGCCATACACCTCTGAAATGCATTTTTTCCTGCTCACTCTTTCATACTCTAGCCACCAGGATAAAGCAAGGGTTAAGCTTCCACCTTTCTTTCTTTCTTCACAGAAAGAAGACTGTTCCACAGTACCTGGGTCCTGGGTAAGAACTCTAGGGAAGAGAGAGTTTCCTCCTATCTCTTTTAAACGCCGTAGGTTTCTTCTGTGGAATTGTCCTCTGGATTGAAAATGAAATTTCTATTCATTATGTGTGGATTTTTTTAAACTCAGTCTTCTGTCCTTATCAACAGTTTTTTACTATCTTTTACATATATGAAAAATTAGGTATTCTCTTGCGTATTCTTTAAGAAAATTGTATAATTTAAATTTCTGATTTGATTTCCTTTTTTGTTGAGGATAGGTGAAACAATCTGTGACTTATATTTGTTTGTTCAGCCCTTTCAGATCTAGAGGTAGACTAAACTAGGGAAAAGGCAAAAATCCAGGGGCATCTTAAAAGCCTAAAGGAAAAATAACTCTATTGAAAATAATTACTGAAACACATAACTACTGGGGCAGTGTTTTGTTTTGCTTTTGATTTCTTTGTTTTTTTAAACCAAATAAATTTAAGTACCTAATTTCCTCTGGATTAATATCTCTTCATTCACATCAAGGTCTTGTTTGTTCATACTAATGCTGTTTCTATGAAAACCTGGATATGCTGGTGATTGTTAGGTACAGTTCAATAGGAAATCCCCACGTTGTTTGAAATGGCATGTCGCAATGATAGCACAAACACTGTTTCTTAGGGTATGGGCTAACAGCCCTTTTAATTCATCAATGCATTTTCATTTCTTGTCTGAATTGCTAATTCATCTCACTTGACTGCCCATATTTTAAAAACTTTAGAAAATACTTCTGTGGAAATAAATTTCATTATCCACAAGGTAAATTGTCTTATAGAACAGTGAATTCTAGGTTTTTCCTGCAGCTAACATAGAATTTCAGTATTTAAGAATTACTTATTTTTCTCGCTAAAGGTTGAATCCAATCTCCCGAGTAAATGAGTTTTAAAAACAGTGAACTGTTCAGAGATCAGCCATCGTTAAGACAAATCTCTTCAGAGACACTGCATATTGTGCCTAATCCTGTTGGCTGAAGTTTGTTTATGGCAGAAATGAATTTGCTGTATCTCTTACAAAACCCTTGCTGGAGTGTTCTTACAGTGTAAAATGGGAGCTTAGTAGAATTACAGTCTGGGAAAGCCAGATTTGATCTCAGCTGAAAACGGGTGTGTGGCCCTAATAATCTTAGCAACACATTTCCTTTGATAGTGTTGCCTTTTGAAGAATTGATAGGCCTTATTTTATTTACAGGTGAGTGGTAGGGATATAGGAGCAGATGAAACAAATTTCATCAATATTAAGCAATATTGCATTTCTCCTTTATTAAGAAATTCTCCAACAAAACTGTCGCTACTACGAAGTACTGAGTTATTAAAGGAAACTAAATGGACTGAAGCACCATGAGCAATTTGTAAAGGGAATGTCTTTTTCAGCCTTTTTCTGTTGTAATTACACAGATTGTTAATATGTCTACTGTGTTAATTCCATCACTATTCATTTTTTTCATGTTCCTTTCTTTGTTTTACATTTCTGTTCAACCTTTGGTAGGGAGACCTAATTGTAATACATAACTTTTGGTTCGAGCTGCTGTTCGAGAAAGTTCAAGCATTGTAAGATTTTAAGTTTTTTTGGTAATGATACTTCAAAATCAAACAATAATTGATTTAATTGCAGTAACTGCTGTTTTATTTCTGGGGTTGCTTAGGACAGCTATGAAATTTTAAGATAAATAAGGAATTGAAATTTTATGTCTGAAAACCAATTCTGTGCAGAAACTTTTTTTATGTTTTAATGAATATTGCATCTTATTAATAATCCCCAGCTGGAACCTATAACTTCCTTTTCCAGTTAAAAAATACTTTTAAATGTTTTTTGTGTCAAAACATGAGAAAAACAGCTTCCTGAAACAAATCTAGGCAATTGATATCTCAAGTATTGTATGTTTATTTTTAGGCTTCTTTACAAAACCTATAATCTGAATATTTGAAATATTTCCTGTGAAGCCTATGCTCTCATCTGAGATGCGTATGATTTGATAAAAGGGAATAAAAAGGCACTGAAAAATTTTTGCTGTAACTACTTGTGAAACCTGACCAACTTAGTTCAATTAAATACTTGAAGTGCTGACTAATATTCCAAATTGAAAAAAAACAAAAAAAACCAAAAGTACCAAAAAGTAAATGCATATAGCTAGAAAATAATTTCTTTATTAGAAGATTTTGTTTTGTCATGTGTGTATGCCCTTCATCAATCCTGAATAAACAAAAATGGCTATTTTTGGACAAGGTTGCTTCTGTTGATAGCTTTGGATACCCATGAAATTTAGTACAGTTTTTTTACTGGTATTTCTTTCATAATGTAGAATCAGTGTGGCTTTTAAGGTTAATGGTTTCTCTACTCAGTCTACAGCAAGCAGGATCAGATGCTTTAGAAAAAGAGATAAAAAATTTGAATACTGTTAAATACAGTATAACCAATTGAGGTAGGAATCTTTCCTATAACAGTCTGTCACTTGCCAGAGTCACAAATTTGGGGCAGCAGGAATGTTCTCCCTTAGTTTTGTCTTACTTCTTTTCTTTCTTAGTCATGATGGCTGGAGAAAAGCACAAATCTCTGTTCTGAAATTTAGCTGTATTTCAAGAGAGTATTTGCATTGTTCTGCATTCCTGATCGGTGCTGTATCCTTAGGGTGTAACTGACACGCAGCAGCCAATACCATGCAGAGCCTGCTGTGCACGGTGCATCACTTTGAAGAAACACTTACCATTCTTCTCAATTAAAAGAATTAAAATATTGCCGTTCCCTCCCACCACCATGTCTGCATGTCCATGTTTAGGCAAGTGCTGCGCTCGTACCCAGCGGTTGATTGTTATCATGGTCAGGACATTTGCAGGGAGGGTGGGATTGCTACTGATTTTTGGTTTTGACAAGTATAATCACAGTCTAAAATATGCTTGTACTGATGAATGTAGTGTCATACTGAAGCAGATAATTTTCATAAAGTGCATTCTTCCATTTAAACTGTAGATGGCCACAATGATTCCTCACTTTTTAAAGCCTTGCATAACCAACTTATTTTTGAGCCTCTGAAATACCAGTATTCTTGATGTAATATTCTTGATCTAAATTTAATTTTTTTTTTTGTATAGTGATGAATGTTATCCTCTTTTTTGCTTATTGTTTTCTTTGAAAGGATGATTTTGAGGTGAAATCAGAGGAGCGCACCAGTGTCATCCAACAACTTGAGCAAACTATTGAGGATCTGAGGACAAAAATTGCAGAGCTAGAGAAACAGTTCCCTGCTGCAGAGGTACAGACTGCTGGGCAGGAGCAGGAAAATGAGCACACACGAGCAGACTCTGGGGAACTCAGCGGTGTGACTCTTCAAAGGGACCAAGAGGAGACCACACCCAGGACTGTGTCACAGGCCAGATCTGTACAAACGTCACCAACGGAGGATTATTTAACGCGTACAATGCCTTCAGCAAGTGCACTGCCACAGCCACCCCTGCCCCCGTACTTAGGAGGTGGCAAAAGTGAAGGGCCAACTCTAGAACTCCAGCCCACATTTTGTTCTGAAATTTCCTTAATTCTGTCACCGAAGCTAATCTCAGTGCCACTGGATGCAAGCCAATTAGTACAGAGCATACCGCAGTCACCTCTTCCAGGAGCCAAAGTTGATTTGTCCCTTGCATTTGAAGGAGAGACTGAAATGTCAGTTTCCCATCAGCCTCTAAGTACTGCAGATGTGACTTGTAGTGAACATCCCCCTTCTTTGGTCTCAGAGACCACATGTAGCATTCCCCCATCACTGCCAGGGACCCAACAGGCTGCCCCCCTGCCTGGAGCACATGGCCCATCCTTTGTTACTCCCATGTCCATGGCAGGAGTTCCACCCCCACCACCCCTACCTGGCTCAGGACTCCCTCCTTCTGCTGTCTCAGCAGTGCCACACCTGGACCACTCTTTCCCAGGTGCCATGATGTCACCACTACCTACCCCACATTTGCCAACTGGGGAGACGTTGATGCTGCCTCCAGCTCCTCCCCTCCCATGTCATGGATTCCCTCCACCACCTCCACCACCTCCACCACCACCTTTGCTTGGAGCAGCAGTACCATCTCCTCTACCTGGTTGGGGTATTCCACCTCCCCCTCCACCACCACCACCTCTGCCTGAGGCTGGAGTCCCTCCCCCGCCTCCTCCTCTGCCTGGCCTGGGATTGCCACCCCCAGCACCACCACTTCCCAGAGCAGGACTGCCACCACCTCCCCCACCTCTTCCTGGAGAGAGTATCCCACACCCTCCTCCTCTGCCTGGCGCAGTTGTGCCTCCTCCACCTCTTCCACCTCCTCCACCTCCTCTGCCTGGTGCAGCTGTGCCTCCTCCACCTCCTCTGCCTGGTGCAGCTGTGCCCCCTCCACCTCTTCCACCTCCTCCACCTCCTCTGCCTGGTGCAGCTGTGCCTCCTCCACCTCCTCTGCCTGGTGCAGCTGTGCCCCCTCCACCTCCTCTGCCTGGTGCATCTGTACCCCCACCACCACCTCTGCCTGGTGTAGGTGTGCCCCCCCCACCACCACCTCTGCCTGGTGTAGGTGTGCCCCCTCCACCCCCTCCTTTGCCTGGGTTGGGGATACCTCCTCCGGCCCCACTACCATTGCCTGGAAATGCACCACCCCTTCCAGCAGCAATGCAGGGCAGCACCTACCCAGCAGTCCCACAGGGTGGTGGTTTTCTTCCTCCTCCATTACCATCTGGTTTATTTGCAATGGGGATGAATCAGGAGAAAGCGAGCAGGAAGCACGTGATAGAGCCTTCTCGGCCAATGAAGCCTCTTTACTGGACAAGAATTCAGCTCCACAGTAAAAGGTAAGACATAGAGTGGTGTACACACTGGTGGTTTTGCTTTATGGCTGTCTTAGTAATATTGTTTGTCATTAGAAAAGGCTTTACTGCTAGGCAGGTCTTTGAGAGAACATTGGTGCAAACGGGATTTTATATGTAGTTGGACATGTAAAAAGGGTGCCCATTTTTATTAAAATGTGCAAAAGTTGCTTGCACATGGAAGTTCTTTGAGGGTAATATTTTCTGTGTCCTTTGGGGTTACATATCATGTGTTCATCAGATATCCAGGAGTGGCTGTGTGCCACCAAATGTTCTGTGAAATGTTTTTAAGATTGTCATATTTGTGATTCCCCTCAAATTTCAAAGCAGCATTGCTCCCTCTGTGGAGCATCTTGCAAGTTTTGGTAGTGTCTTCCTTCTAGAAGAATGTATGTTGAGTGCATTCTGTTCTCCTCTTTCCTTTCTTTACTGATTTGGAAACACTTCTTTTCCCACCTTGAATACTCAGCAAACTCAGATTCAAGATCAATTTATTTGCAGAAAGCAATTCTGATTGCCCTTACTTTGATATGACTTTTATATACTTGGTTTCACTTGTTGATTCTTTTGGGGGGTATTTTGTTTGTAAAAGATCATTGCTGGTCATGAAAAGAAGTTTCCTTATAAATAATTTCCTTATGTCTCTGAGTAGTAATTATAAAACCTATCTGCTGTTAATGATGATTATTCTTTCTTTAATGATTGATTTATTCTTTCTTTTCAAATTCTTTCCACTGTTGTAGAGGTGGTCTGCAAATAACTGGCTATTTCTACTTCTCTTCCTGCCATGTCTGTATGTTTTATAGCTATATGCAGCCTATTTTTATTCCTATGTATGTAGAGTGGGTAAATATTAATAAGCCTGACTATATCATATGTGAACAAAGAAGAAAACCTTAAAGTATGGGGAGAATTAACATCATTTTTGATCCAAATGCTGCTAGTACAATTTAGGCTACAACTTTTCAATTGCTACTATTTCATTTTTTTGACTCCTCCATTTATGAACTTTAGTTTGACATTGCCCTACATAGGTCTTTTGCTTAACTTTAGAGATTCTAGTGCTTCACTTGTGTGGGAAAAAATTGAAGAGCCTTCCATAGATTATCATGAGTTTGAAGAACTGTTTTCTAAAACAGCTGTTAAAGAGAGGAAGAAACCAATTTCGGACACCATTACAAAAACAAAGACTAAACAAGTGAGTACTAATTTAATTTCAGATCTTTTCTAGGCTGGTTTTTACATAAAGACAGATTTTTGCATGCAGCTGAGATGACTTATGCTTGGTGTGGAATTGTTACCATGTAATTATATACACTGTAGAAAAATGAGAAAAGAGGAGAATGTAGGATGGATTTCAAAGCTGTACATGTTAAAGACTGAGGATTTCTTTTCTAATAATTTTCTTTTCAAGTATGTATTTTCTTAAAATATCTTTGCTTTATCCACTTTAACAAAAATAATATCAAAATAATTAGGTGCATATATGATGCTTTGAAATTGACTACAGATGTGCAAGGAGTAGTATATATTATTCTGATTAATTTTATACATTAAATAATGAGTTGCATATGAATTACCATTACTTCAGAGAAAAATTATGCTTCAGAATCTAAGCCCCAATCAGAATGGTTCTAAGTTTGTGTTGTGTTTGTGTACAGAAAGAATATAAAGTTTATACATACAAAAAATGACAAGCACAGTTGGGAAAAATCCAACATTAAACAAACAGGTTTCTTGAGACAGAATGGTGTAAAATATAATAAAAATGAGAAACATACTTTAAAATGTAGACATTATAATCCCAGAGTAAAAGAATTTAATCCAAATGTTTACATGATTGTTCGGCTGTAATCTTCTTGGTATCTGTGTAAAAATCAAATTGTGGTGGCATGTTAAGTAATTTTCAGTTAAACGTTCAGATCATAGAGAGGAATGGTCTTTTGTAGGATCCTAAACAGCAGTAAAAGTTGTTTTGTTATCTCAATTTCATATTCCTTTACTCAATTCAAAGCTAGGCAATTGTTTCCATCATCTTTTGCCATGCAGATTAATGTTGTACAAAACTTTTTCCACATTGGATGGACAGGGCATCTCTTTAAAACCTATTCACTCAATCTTCTATCTGAATATGACCTATTAGTTCTCCACCTTTTAGTTCTGGAGATCTTGCCCCCATAGACACATTTTGGTTAGCAATAAAAATACACAGGTGCTTTACTGTGCTGATGACTCTGCAGGCAACAGAACTGGTGATGAACCAAAATGATTATCCCAAGGTATTGGATAAAGTTTTTGGATGGATGGATGGGAAGGATGGTGCAGATACACGTTCCACCATGCTGCACTTCGCTGTACCAACTGGGGTGGGAGGAAATATAAAGTTCTGCTGCTGTCTCTGTTTACTTCTGTAACGTAAAGGGAGCTTAACTACAGACAGTGATTATGAATAAACATTAGATGTGGATTTTAATACTAAGTATTTCTTTTTCTTGCAATGCCAAAAGTTTTGATTTGTCAGTAAATTTAAAAAAAGAATCTAGCTAAAGCTAAAATAAAATTATTGATTGTAATTAATTGTTCTTTGAAAATTTCAGAAATTTCTGAAATTTCTAAACAGAATTTCAGGGCAAAGTAGTTCCTGTCATCTAGGATAAACATTCCTTTTAAGGGCCACCTTAATTCACAGAAGAGAATCCTCTGTTTCTCTTCCTCTGATAATCAAACAAATATACTGTCCTCCAAAATAGAAAGAAATTGCCCAGTAGAGAAGTCAGACTTGTTGGATTGTAGTATCTGGGGAGAAAAGATTCACCAAACAGATGATCACAAACTTTCATTAAGACTACAATTAGAGCTATCATTTATTGCAGATGTCGAAGTTAAAACTTGTGTGAGAATCCAGCTAGGGCTTTTCAGAGTACTGACATGAGACAATTGAAATAGAACAGTTTCACAATTTGGAATGCAGGACTTCATTTTTAGAATTCTCTTCATTTAAACTGCAGTAAACACTTGGATTATGAAGTCCATCCATGCTTAGGAGAAGAAACAGTTATTTGGGGAAAGCATGGCTGTAATTCCACAAGTATGTTTTTACAGGGAGCACCAAGTGCTGTTTAAATGGTTACTGACTTCCATGGCTTCTATGATAGTTATGGGTGTTGTAAATATCTTAGAAATGGTGTTTCTGTAGTGATTTTTACCGGGACGTGCTATGCAAAGCAGATGTGTTTTGTCACCTGTTGAGCTATGAAGAAGCACTGTACAGAACAGGACCAGGACCCTCACTCTGCTGCTTTCTAGAAACTCTGGTTTGGTCTGGCAATTGGTTTTGCTTCTTGTGTTGTGCAGGGTCTGCTGAGGGAATGCATTGCTAGATGGATTGATAGAAAGTACTGGCTACACTGGAAATCATACTTATGAAAAAATGTACAGATAATTTTAAATGTATAAAAGATTTGGTACTCTGTGTGAGCATATGATTTTAATAAAACTGTTTTTACTGTAAGCTGAAATAAAAATATATTTACAAAGAAGGCCACATGGCAGGAGGGGGAATTTTAGCTAACCTGTAGAAAGATTTGATAGTTTTGGGATGTTTTAGTGGGTGAAAGATTAATTATTTTGAAGTATACTGCTGTTCTGMACACAGGGGTTTTTATTCTCTAAGCTATAGAGTGTATGCATATGTTTGTTGCATATGTATGTAGATAAGCGTGATATAATTATTTCTGAATAGTGAGCCTTTTTAAGTGATAAAATTATTCTTATTGTTCTGGGTTTCTTTTGTTAATGAATGAGTTAATTTCCCCCAACCCAAATATTGGTTGTGATTTTGTTTTCTCTGCATGATCATCTGCAAGTAATACAATATAAATCTATAGTGCTTTAAAAAAGGTCAATATTACATATAGCTTTGAATGAAGGCCACATTAAAATCCATTCCAGAACTTATAAAGAAAGAGAAAGAAAGAAGTGTTAATATTTATTTGTGAAGGCAGCTGATTTTATTCTTACTGTCTCTTACTTGGTGCTACAGCAAAAACTATGATTTCTCTTGCTCTGTTAATGCATATTTATCAAATTCTCAGCTGCTGCAAATGCATTCAGGCTAACTCAATGAGAATGCCTACTAATCTCCAAAGAAAGTCCTTTATAGTGTATATTATAGGTGGGGCTGCGATTGCTCCCTATTAAAGTGGTCTGACTTTCATTACAGGTTATAAATTTGCCAAAATTTAGCTCTTTAGACTGCAACTTTTGTTAGGTTGCATATTTTCCCCCCAAATTGCGTCTCCTTCATTCTGCCAGTGCTGAGAAAACAAAGTCTGGTTTTGCTCATGTCTGCACTGTTTCATAGACTTGAATTATGGAGAAATTTTATCATATATATTGTTTTAGTTGTGTAAGGGGTTTCTTAAGTGTTGCTACTCTACAGGTTATAGAACCTTTCCACTTGCTTAGCAGGGACTTCAGGTATGATCCTGAAGATTTTTTTCCAGCTTCTTTACTTTGGAAAACAAGGGCCAAGAGGAGGGAGGCAAAGGAAAATTAACCAAAGTAACTGGGGCAGGAGTAAAGAACTGAGATCTGACAGCTGAAAACGTAGAGCATGTTAGCTGTGAGTCTGTGTCACCTCTCATGCTGTTTGAAGTTAGTTCTCTCAAAAAGTTTTTGTGAGACTGGGATGATCCTTTCACCAAATAGTCAATCTCATCAAACCTGTGGTGTTTGACCCAAGCAGAGTAAAACTCACTCTTGCATCTTGTTTAGCTGTGCCATGTAGTTAAAATACTAGTTTTGATTGCATGGCTGAGTAATCTTTTTTGTAGAACCCTTTCCATAGCTAGTATGAACTGTGTGGAGTGAGCACAGTCTATAATCATTACTTATTAAATTGAGCTGTTACCTGTGCAAAAACATGTTTTGTAGCAGTTGTTGCAGCACTTAAAAACCATGTAAGTAGTGAAGCAGGAAGGAAAAGGATAGCCTCATGACTAAGGCCATATACTCAAGAATGATGGCAAATGCAATATTAAAAATATACGTGCATGGTGAACATTGGTAAGTGTATAGTGAATGGGTTCAGTGGAAAAATGGTACGTAATCAGAAAATCTTGATTATCACTGTCAGCATAATAAGTATATAGAATGGACTGATGTGACTTGCATAGTCTACTTTCCTAACTTTTGAACAGTCCTTTTAGAATCTTTACTGATAATCCTCTATTTGTGTTGAGCTATGAAGAAGGGAGAATATTATACATGTAACTGAAATGAATTTTTCAATCACAGACCATGTGTTTGTAATCTATCATGTAAATGAAAAAAAAAGTTAAAGATACTCTCATGTGGAAAAGTCCACTATTAAACTATTGACATTAAGATTTTAACCTCCATTTCCACTCCAGAAAATAAATAGTAGGTTACTAAAATTTCATTCGGTTTCAAAGGCCTTAGGTGCAAAAAATGTAAATCGATACAACAATATTGATTTCAGTACTGGTTTCAGGATTTTTGAATTTTTAAGTTGGACTTAAATAAGCTGTGGTAATAGAATACCTCTAGAAGTTAAATGCCACTCTAGTCCTTAGATGTTGCTCTTATTTTTTAGTAGGGGACATTTTACTATTCCTTAGCATCCTGTTGAGGAACACAATGCTTATATTACTTGTTTCTAGCTGCATTTAGGCAATCTAAGTATTTCTTTTTCACCTAATGTCATAAATGATGAATATTAACTGGGACAACAGTCTCTTAATAAAAGCTAACTCCTACAGTAATAGTTTTATGATGTTAATTCCAAACACTCCTATTTTAGTGATAAAACAGCAGAAAAGGGCTGTTTGTCATGAACTGAACAATGAACTGTTTCTCATCCATATCAGTGAAGGCTTTATTTATGCAGTAACACAGCACGGTAATAGAGAAAATGTATGAAAAGTAAATGTTATGTTTAATCTCTACCCTCAAGCACAAAGTTTCAGACATGGCTGTTTGGCTTCACTAATTTGCATAACATGTCAACAATTTGTATCTAAAATTATATGACAAAGATATAGCTAATGAAAATCTTCAATGGGGAAAGAAACCAGCTAGTTTCTAGTTTTCAGTTTTGGTTAGGGTGGGAGCCAGGTGCTGAAAATTATGCTTTTTTATTGATGCTCTGTAAGTTCAGTTAAGCAATCAAGTGCC